TTTTCACCTTCGCTCATTTGACCTTTTTTGCCTTCGCTCTTTTTATTATTTTCACCATCGCTCTTTTGACTATTTTTGCCTTCGCTCTTTTGATTGTTCTTTTGGCTATTTTCACCTTCGCTCATTTGACCTTTTTTGCCTTCGGTCTTTTGATTGCTCTTTTGGCTATTTTCACCTTCGCTCATTTGACCTTTTTTGCCTTCGCTCTTTTGACTATTTTCACCATCGCTCTTTTGACTGCTCTTTTGACTACTTTTGCCTTCGTTCTTTTGATTGTTCTTTTGGCTATTTTCACCTTCGCTCATTTGACCTTTTTTGCCTTCGCTTTTTTGATTGTTCTTTTGGCTATTTTCACCTTCGCTCATTTGACCTTTTTTGCCTTCGCTCTTTTTATTATTTTCACCATCGCTCTTTTGACTATTTTTACCTTCGCTCTTTTGATTGTTCTTTTGACTATTTTCACCTTCGCTCATTTGACCTTTTTTGCCCTCGCTCTTTTGACTATTTTCACCTTCGCCCTTTTGATTGCTCTTTTGACTATTTTCACCTTCGCTCATTTGACCTTTCTTGCCTTCGCCTTTTTGCTCTTTTTCATTTTTGCCCTTTAGATCTTTTTCACCTTTACTCTCATGATCTTTTTCATTATAGTCTAAAAATTCAATTTTATATAATTAAATTTCATTATTGTGTGTTAAACTTATAGTTTAATTTTGTACTAAAGAATTCCATTGGTCATAAATTCTCACCTTTGCCCTTATGGTCTTTTTTACTTTCGTCTTTGTGATCTTTTTTACTTTCACCTTTTAGATCTTTTTCATACTTGCCTTTGTGATCTTTTTCACCTTTTAGATCTTTTTCATATTTGCCCTTTTGATCTTTTTTACCTTCACTTTTGTAATCTTTTTTACTTTCACCTTTTAGATATTTTTCATGTTTGCCCTTTTGATCTTTTTTACCTTCACTTTTGTAATATTTTTTACTTTCGTTTTTGTGATCTTTTTTACTAACGCCTTTGTGATCTTTTTTACCTTCACCTTTGTGATCTTTTTTACCTTCGCCTTTGTGATCTTTTTCATTGTCACAATCTTGATCTTTTTTGCCTTTCTCACTAGTTTTAACATAACCTTCTGAAAAATTTAATTAATATAATTGATTTAGTATTGTTATCATAATGTTCAATTTAAAAATAAATTAATTTAATATTAACTTTATACTCACGCTTTTGCTTTTTATGATAAGTCAAATCCTCTCCTAATTATTATAAATGCACATGTTAGATATTTTATAAAATTTTAATTAAAAACTACGAATATTCACAGTCTTTACCGTTGTTGTCCCAGGAATTTTTACTTTCACCTTTATAACCTTTTCCATCAGTTTCAGCGGTTTTTGCATAACCGTCTAAAAATTTATTTTTTTATAATTGGTAAGTTTTATTATTGTATGTTCAATTTAAATAAATATTAAATATTTAATTAATTTTAATTAAAGGATTCATTGATCTCATTGTTACATTTATAAAATTTCAATTTAAAATCAATTTTATACTCACGTTTTTGACTAATATTTTTTTTACCTAAAGATTTAATTTATATTAGCGATTTAAAAAATGGTTACTTAAAGTTCAATCAATAAGTAATTTTATACTTACTCTTATGCCCGCCTCCACCTTTTAATAATTTGATAAGGATTGATTAATAAAGTTTCGTTTGAAAAAAATGCATTCATTTTATCACATCTCTTATCGACTAATAAATCACGTGATCATGACGACAACTGATGTCGAAAATTAGCTGATGCTAGAATATAAAAAATGCAAAAAATGCATAAAATCTAGCGTTCATCACAATGTGATGATAATTACAAGAAAATGGTTTGATTTGTCGATCAGAAATGTGATAATTCTGAATAAAAATGATCAAAGCTATACCATCACGTTTACTCAAAGTTGCGGTTAATACAGGGTTGAGAACGACAAGAACGAAGGCAAGAGTGAAGAGTAAATTAAGTTTCAGCATAATTGATTTTTTTCAAAATTAGAGGAAATATTAGAGGAAATATTATATAAATTTCTTTTTTCGAAATTAGGAGGAATTATTAGGTAGGTTTCTTTTTCAAAATTAGGAGGAAATATTAGGTAAAATTCTATTTGGAGAAAATATTAAAAAATTGTTTTCGAAATTAGAATATTAAATTCTATTTGAATTTAAGATGAATATTAGAGATTAAAAACGAGAGACGACGAAAGAATAAATCGTTGACATTTTATAGATTTTTCGAAACGCGTAAATAACATAATATAAAGAATGCGTTATTATCGTTTGCCATTCTGTGAGATGCATTTCTTTTACATAATCCGATAATTAAACAATCAAAAAATCGCGTGCATGCTATATCACATGCATCTATAAACAGTACTTTAATAAATAAACAACAATTAATTGTCACACCATGTGTAATGTGTGGCGACAAACGGTTAGTAGCACGAGGAATATTAAATGCTTGCATTATGTGAGCTTTCCCTCAATGCAAATAATTTCTTTCTCTAATGCAAGCTTACCTTTATGCATGCAAATGCAACAAATACAAACCATGCCTTGTTTGATGAATTGCATATACAGTATATATTTGTAAATTGTTATGCGGGAGAAATGTGTTGGTTGCCAAGGCATTTTACCATATACATAAAAAAAACAACAAATACCCTAATATGTTTCAGACTATATTTAGAAAAAATAGCAAAATTGTTACTTTACGATTTTCTTAACAATAAATTTTATCTCGATATTATGTCACTAAATATAAAATTTTTCCGATACATATTCGTGAATCGAGTACTAGTAACTACTAAATATCCAAGCTATTTATCACGACTATGACAATGTAGCTAAAACTTTGTATTCCATTGTCAATTTCATAACGTTAATAAAGATGTGTGACATGCATGACAAATAATAAAATCGGCAGTTAAATTTTGCTAAGCACCGCAAATTCCACATATAGATTTTAAACAGAAATAAAGGACAAAGAAAAGATGAAAATAGAACAAAAAAAAGCAAGGAATAAATGAAATTTCGTTATTTCAAATATCGTATCTAAGATGATTAGGCCAAAAGAAAATTATTAGCAAAGATCGAAAACTAAAAATAAGAAAAAAAAATTTTTCTCATAATTAGAGATGCTGGTGAAATTACTTATAATCACAATTTTGGTCTGACGAAATTCGCATACAATATTTGTTAAAGGTACATCTAGTGATGGGACTTTAGAATTTTAGCTAATAAAAAAACAATAATAATTAGTTATTAATATTATTAACCATTGATAATTTGAACATTAGGATTAGATATAAGGTGACACCTCCGTAAAGTTTCCGGAACGAAGAATTAGCCGAATTACGTGATCACAAAATGTGGCACAGACCGCTTAACGTAATCAGCAATCACACAATACTGATTGGCCACGATAAGTGGCTCTGCGTCACATTTCGCATCACATGATTCGGCTAATTATTCGTTTCCGAAAACTTTGCCGGAAGTGTCACCTATCTATATTTAATTCTATATGTAAAATCCTAATAAAATCAAATTTTAAAGTCCGGATTTTCATAAAATTAATGAAATAGAGAATGATACTGCGCTGCACATTATTTTAGTTAATAAACCGGATAATTGATTATTAATTATTATTAATCCAAGAGGTCCCATCACTAATTAATTTCTTCGATGGACATTTCCCTGACTGCCATTTACTGACATCGTACAGGTGATAATTTATTACAGTAATAATCTGTATATATCTGCAACTAATAAAATTCTAGTCTTGGCCATATGTAATAGCAAATGGTCTGTCGACAAAACCGTAATTTCGTAATTAATTACAATGTAAATAATAATTAAAATTTTCAGAACTTCGAATATAATTTACTTGTTTATCCGTTCCTGATTTATTTATAGCTCTATATTTAACAATAAGTTTTGCATGTTTTCCCGATGATCATTTTTGCAGACAGGTTTACCTAGCATCACATAGGGTATATATTATTACAGCTGTTTTCAAAAAGATGTGGAAAACGATTTCCATATACCCATGTGGGGAATCGAAGAATGTGGAAATTCTGCTTAGTAAAAATTAAAAATCCGATTAGAGCGGGTTTTGAAAACTCTAGAAATCTGGGAAATATCGTAAATTCTCCATGTTATAATGATCGCATCTTTCCACAGGTTTTTGAAAACGATAATGTATGGCTGTTTAAAAATAAATTTAAAAGATCAAAGAATTAGGTATTTTATTATACGTACGTACGTATTTCGATATTTTCAAAATTTGATTAAATTAAATTTGGTATAAATGATTATGCAATGTACTGTATGTTAAAATAGAGATAGGGTGGTTTGATTTACTTGATTAGATTTGATGCGGGATCTGCATATATTAGATTTAAGTTAAACCAAAACAATCAAAACTCCCGTCCATGTTACAAGGATCTTGGCAGAACAATATATAAGCATGTACTCCTTTCCTAATATAAGGTAATTGAGCAGCGTAGTTGCAGGAACGGATGAACCAGTAAAGTATATTTAAAGTTGAATTTATTTATTTACGATTGATAAATTATTTCATAATGCATTTTGCGAATTTTATGGAATTTAACTTTTATTTTTAAAATTGGCAAATTGATATATGGGGTCTTTGCCTTGAAAATCACCCTCCGACATTTCCGATCGGGCTAATTCGGACAAAAACAAATCCGTGTATTAGTTCATGTATATATTTAAATCTCTTTTTCCTTTATTAATTCGAAACTTTATTCTATAAACTATTGAACCATAAAGACGAAAAGGGGTTTACATATAAACATGAACTAAATACACGACTTTGTTTTTGTCGAATTAGCCCGATCGGAAATTCGGAAGGTGATTTTCAAGGCAAAGACCCATATATAGTTGTCATTGTAATTACTTATTTACGTTATGGTACATGCCGTAATTAATTATGTATAAATTCTTGAAACCGTAAACTTATTACAGTAAATTAAATTGTATTAGTGTATTATGTTTCCAAAATTCCATTTTACAATACGTATTAATATTGCCATAATGTCTACGTATTAAATCTACTTTTATTATATTGTTAACTTTATTAAAATAATTACGTATAATAAAAATATTTAACATTATATCTATCTCAAACTTTGTCACGCCTTCTCAATCTATCAATGTATCCCTTCTAATCATTCATTGCACTTTCTAAATTTTTCATCGCACTTCATCCAATCTTTCATTACAGTGTTTCAGCAATATGGTATTACGGTATCACAGCATTACGGTCATACGCCGTTTTAACAGAAAATAATGCTGTAACTGTATTGTAAGCCCAATGTCAGCTGTGTATGTCTTTTGCCTTGAAAATGACCTTACTTAGTAATTGCGATGCCCCATGTCAGTTACAAGGCAAAAAACTCCCAATACGTACGCATAAGTAAGACAAAAGATAGTATTAATTAAATGCTAGAAATGTAAGTGGCAGTTTTAAATAAACTTAAATACAAAAATAGAAAAAGACCAAGAAAATGTTTAAATTAGGTATTTTATTATACATATACGTATCGAAACCTGATTACATCATGTATATAAATTAATAAATTTAGTATAAAAGGTAATACAATGCATGTAAATGGACATTCAATCAAACTATAATAATAATTATGTACCGGTACCCGTACTTCACTTAGCAAACAAACAAAGGTGGCTTCGCAACGTATTTGCGCCATAACTAATGAGCCAATAAATTATATTCAAAGTTCCGAAAATTTAAAATCATAATATAGTTTATTATTAGAATTCTTATATACGAGAATCCGTCAATATGCATTGTTGAATTCTACGTTATATTATGTATACAGGCGTTTTCAAAAATGTGTGAACAACGATTTCCATATACCTATATGGGAAATCGAAATTTAGATTAGAGAAAATTAAACTTCCGATTGGAGCGAGTCTTGAAACTCCGGAAATCTGGGAAATACCATGGCATGGTGATCTGCGACCGTTCATACCTTTTTGAAAACAGCTGTAATTGGGCTAACGCTAAGTGCTACAAAAAAGGGTGAAATCAACAAAAAAAGATTTTCAGAAAATCATAAAAAACTAAAAACTTTAAAGAACTATACTGCAAAATTTTATTACAGCCGTTTGCAAAAATTTGTGGAAAGATGCAGATCACTATAACATGGAGAATTTACGATATTTCCCAGATTTCTAGAGTTTTCAAAACCCGCTCTAATCGGATTTTTAATTTTTACTAAGTAGAATTTTCACATCCTTTGATTTCCCACATGGGTATATGGAAATCGTTTTCCACGTCTTTTTGAAAACAGCTGTAATACAACTACTTTTGTATCTTAAATAAGAAATGATCCGAATCTTATTCTAATTGATTTATGTAAAAAAAAAATTCTAAAAAATATGCCAATTTCCCCCTTTTGTAGCTGCATAAAATATTTGAATGTCGTATGTCGTAGCTTATTACAATAAACTACATCAGATAATGTGTATTTCTGTAATATTGTTTCTATAATTCCGTATTGGGAATCGTATGATGTGAAATGATCGTAAAATCGGATGATCGTGAAATTTGGGGGCCTTAATTTAAAAATAAAACTTCTATCAAAACCCACCTATACTCTCTTATTATAAACGAACGTATATTAAAATAGAGTGTAATTTCACGATCATCCGTGACAATGTTTATTACTTTAGTGCCCTCCTGTTTCAATACCTCGTGCAAATATCCTGTTGCAAAAACGAGGTCTCCATTAATTAAATGTGTGTTTTTAATTTTCAGACTGCTTATTGTAATGCGGAGATGCCTCCAAAAGTTTAGGACGGTTACACAATAAACTTAGTAAAAAAAAATAGAAACATAATATAAAAAATATATCTTAAACATAATAAAAAACATGACAAAAATTAGCTAATACGTATAAGAGAGAGTTGGGTATTCTGGCGCGGGAGGTAATGTGGCGCACTGAAGTTTTTTTAAAGTATCTCATAATACAATAAACAGAAACGAACAATTTTAACACCATTTAATTCGCCTTATCAAGACAAATCGAATGGTGTTAAAATCACTTTAATTAGAACTCTTGGAAACTCTTGGCCACAAGATTCAAGCAACGTTAATAAAAAAAATACAAAAATTAATTAAAGTATATTCGGCACGCCCAGCGCCCCTTAAGATCTGTTTCATACAGTAATTATTATTTGTATTTAATGTAGATATTACTATATTGCAGTGCGCCGAATCCCCCACCTAATAAAATTACGTCTAAAAAATCGGTTTCAAAAAAGTTGCAATAAACAAATTTTTTTAGTAATAATAGTTATATTTTTTTTCATTAGCGAATAGCCAAGCATAAAATTAGTTGGTTTAAATGAATTTTAGACACAAATATTAATTTATAAAATTTTAATTGGTAATAGAGCTTAGGTGCGCCAGAATACCCGACCCTCCCTTATTTTATGCCAAGTCGTATTATTCAAGCTAATGATAATAATTATTATGCATAATATATTAAACATCATATACCTAATGATTATACGTACATCGATATATTACGTATACATATCGATGTGTAATCATCATGCACAAATATTAATACCATTGATTTGTATTTTTTATTATGTTTTTATTTTATTGTGAAACCGTCCTAAACTTTTGGAGGCAACTGTTAAATTAACTTTATTAAAAATGTTCCGTAATTCGAGCACAGCTAAATTGTTTTAATGAATTTAGGTTTAAACTAGTGCTACAAATTCAGCGCATTTATTTAACCCAAAATCATCAAAAAAAATGTTATTGAGATATCAGCAATATAAAATTGCTATTCATTTCCCGATTTCACAACGAATGCATTATTAAATAGTGTGCCTTTTTGATTATTTTGGATTTAAATAAATACTTCAATTCTGACATTCATTTATGATAAGCCAAAATTGGCATAGTCATGGTTAAACATTTTCTTTTGTGAATTCGATTTTTATTGCAAAATTTAGTAAGTATATTTTTAGAACTGGTGATCCATTTTCGATAGTTTTGGTCTAAGATGAATCTTAAGGACTTTTTGATTAATTCATAATTGAAATTACCAGCCCATTCCTAAATTACTAAATATAATATTTTCCGGATGCGTACTTTGTATAGAATATTTAAAATAATAACCCTCTCTATCTTTATCGCGACTTTCAATCCATCATTACATTTTTCTAAATCTTTCATTGCATTTTTCTAAATCTTTCATTGCACTTCTTCCAACTTTTCATTAAAATATTTAGCAATAAAGTAATACGTCGGTGCAGTATTACAGTTCGACTTTTACAGAAAATAATACTGTAAGTGCTGTAAATAAAATCAAACGTCAGCTATGTAAGCATATATACAGTATAATGCATACAAAAGAACTCTAGAATATAAATGCGAAATTCTTTAAGCATTCCAAAAATACCTAAAATAATAGAAAAGAAATATCGAAGATTTTATTGCCAAGAATCAATGATTGTAATCTATTCTAATCATTTCTGGTAAATGTAATAAAACATTGCTATTAATCAAATGCTAAAATGGTAAGTGAATATTTATAATTAGAAAATTAGGTGTTTCATAGTATAATACGATGCATGTGAAAGGGCATCCAATCAAAAACACAGATTCGTACATAAACACTTCATGCATACACTTCGTTGTTACATTGAAAATCTAAAAAGCCGCAGTTCTAAAAGTCACCTAATTCACTGAAATCTCTAAAATAGGTAGGTCGAGACTTCAAATCCGAAACATGAGTAGCGTTATTTCCGAAAAGCCAAGCATTTTATCCGAATGGTTTATGAAAAAGTACCGATTTATTAGTTAATTATTAGAGAACACACCAACTGTAATTACAAGTACGGTACATTACTTCCCGAATCATTGCCTTGATCTTACCCTCAGACCTCGATTATCTTTATATCTTCGAATTCCATTCTTTACATTCACTACATTGTATTACTATCCCTACTTGTCATATTATTAAATAAAGTTAACCGTGTCTTCATACACGTTGAATTTCATTCTCAACCATAGATTATAATCACGTGACTTAGTGATTGAGTAAATCACACAAGTAATAATAATATCTTAACCTTTTGTATCTCCATATACAATTGTTTGTCTCTTTCGATAAGCCTTTTTAAATTCTCTTTGTTAAGTCGTGTATTTGACGCCATATTAAGTCTCCAAATCACAAGTTTGTATTGGGAAGTTTGAAGAACAAGGAACGGCCTAAGTTTGAGTTAGGGCTAGGTGATAGTATGGTTTAGGCCGATTTGTTTGTGCTAGTAATATTGTTGAAGACGATAAACAAGAAGATTCTCCAGAAGGTTATTCTTGGCAACCACCAAGTGAAATGCATAACCTACCCACAAAAATTTTTAAGGACAATCTTCTCACACTTAACAAAAGAAAATCTATTCTACAAGTACACCCATGCAATAAACATATCTTTTTTAAACCTCCAACAATGAATAAAGGTTTATGGAAATACATGCCAAAGAATATTAGAGACAATGACAAATCATTTGCAAAAATATCTTACCATATATCAGCAACAATACATCCCCTTGACAATTTTCTACATCTCCTATATGACTCAAAACCTGATGACTCAGATAATGAAACACTTGAGTCTTGAAAGGCTCTTGAACAATTGTTACTGGATACCAGAAGTTTTATACTCAATAGTTTATTTTTTACTAATGAAATTAGACGTAATGAAGCTATTAAATATATATCACCATTATATCAACTGGCATCTGAACAGGAGGAAATTTTTAGCCCTACAGAACTCAAAGAAACACTGGAAAAAGAGAATACAAAGAATAAAATTTGTTCACAATGCTTTTCATTACCAAAAACGTCAAAATTTTAATCACAAAAAATTCAACAATCATGGGAGAGGAAGTTTTTTCTCACGATCTTCATGAATATTTCAGAATTCATCAATATCTTTTTTTGAAGAAAGTACTAGAAGCAATACATTTAATACAAGCAACTTTTACAATACAAAACAAAATCAGAATCAAACATGAGATTGAAGATTCATTCATTTCAAGAATCGGGCCTATGTTTATACATCACAAACTGGATAGAAATATTTAAAGAATCCTGAGTACAAGAATTATAAACAAAGAATATTCTTCTATCTGGGCTTTGATACCTTCCAGAATTAAACAATCTATATCTTATCACCATTATAACCAAGAGATTATGACAAAAATAGAAAATTTCTTAAAAAAAGGAATTATAAAATCAATATCTACCACATCACTATGCTTTATCTTGAAAATTTTCTTAGTTTCCAAAAAGAATAGCAAAAATCAATTAGTTTTAGACCTCAGAAAACTCAACTAATACTTAGCACATTATCATTTCAAAATGAAAGGAATATAGATGGTGAAGACCTTAATTTTTCCAGATAACTATATGGGATCTCTAGATATAAAGGATACCTATTTATACATACCTATCAACAAACAAGATCAATTTTTCTTTGCATTCAACTTTTATGAAAAGCATTATGTATTTACAGCTCTCCTATTTGGTTTGTCTACCAGTTCATTAATTTTTACAAAAGTATTACACCTAGTTATAAAACATTTTCACACCTAAGACATCAGAATTATAGCTTATTTAGATGACTTATTTATAGTCAGAAATACAAAATCAGAGACTATAGAGCATTTAAATATAGCAATCCATACTTTAAAGTCTTTAGAATTTATTATCTATTGAAAAAAGTCATGCATAACACTATCAAAAGTATTGGAATATCTTGGATTTACAATAGACAAATCAAAAATAACAATCTCTTTTCTCTATCAAAAAGTAAAAGAAGTTATAAAAATGTGCAAATCAATATTTACAAAAACCACAATTCAAATCTGCAAGCTTGCATCCATAATAGAAAATTAATTGCAACAACAAATATGATTTTTTCTGCTTATCTTATGACTAGAGTATTACTATGTGACAAAAATACCATATTTAAAAGACAGGGCGGGGCTTCTATATTGACTCTATTCTTACAAAGCATTACACAACTCTTTAGTAGATAAACAGTCTTCAAAATTAGAATGGAACAACAATAATTCAGAATTATCCAAATATGACAATATTCACAGATGCATTCTGCATTGGTTGGAAGACAGCTCTAGAAAACTCAATAATTTTAGGAAGATGGTTTTCAGATAAACATCTTCATATAAATGCACTAGAAGATTAGCAGTTTGAAATGTCTTAAAAAGCTTCTTATATCAAGAAATAAAGAATATCAAAATTATGTCAGACAACATCACTACTGTGACTTACTTCAACAATTAGGGTAGTATAAATCAACCTTAATAAGCAGTATAGTAGAGTCAATTTGGGCTTATGACTTAGAGAAATTGATAAAAATAACAGCAGTTCACATATGTAAAAAAAACATAATAGCAAACAAAGCATCACGTTTAATTGACAAACACAATTGAAAAATTTACTAGAAATTCTTTCAAAAAATAAATTTCTAACTAGGTTCTATAGAGATAGATCTATTCACAAACACAATTAATATAAAACTCCTGAGATTTTGCTCCTGGCAGAATATAAACAACAAACAATCAGTAGATGCTTTTCAGATTCCTTAGAACAAGTTTACAGGATACATCAATTTCTTATAAATACTAATGAATAAAGTTATAATGAAAATAATCTAAGACAAAGCTCAAACAGTAATACTTTTTTCACTCTGGACCTCAGTCCTATAGTTTTACTACTCAAAAGGATTTTATTATCAAAACTAATCTCTGTTTCAATGTGGGCAATTTTACTAGGACAAATGTCTCAGATATATTCAATACGCAACTCATCTTGGAGACTTTACACAGCATGTGTCTCCAGAACTCTCTTTAAAAATAAGGGTACTCACCTATAGTACTCAATTTAGCAACAAGTGCTCTGGATCAGTCAGCATCAATCATAGTATTCTCATATATTTATAATTGGAATAATTGGTGCAACTCACAAGATATAGACTTCACTAACTGTAGTATTAATAAAATTGTTGAATTTTTAGATCTTCAAAAAGAATTAGAAAAAAGCTTATAATACTATAGCAAGCTATTACTCTGCTATTAGTAAAATAAATCAAAAGATTGATGGTACCAAAATAGACACATTCTCAATAATCATCAAAATTATAAAAAGAATTTGAAAAACTAATTCTCTACCAGAGCCTCATTATTACACTTCAGATATTACTTTATCATTTAACACTATTATAGCTTGGGCAATAACAAAAACTTATTATTATTACAGTTAAACAAAAAAACTACTTTTCTACTTGCTATCAGTACTGGTTCTCACCCTTCTGATTTACTATATTTAAATCTATTAATACTATCAAAAACATTTAGTGGAAACAAAAAAAGCTAAAATTTCAACATCAAGAGAGGTTATAAACAATCTAAGATTATATTTATTAGACAATATAACGAAACCCTATTGATTTCTATTAACTTCACTAAATCCTTTACTAAGGGCACTAACATTAATTACGTAATTTTTTAGGAGTGGGGGTTGAGCATGTACTATATCAATATCTTACGTTATACAAAGAAAATTAGTTGGACCAAATCCGTTTTAAATTGGCCAATCATATTGAAGCTTATGTGTGGGGAGGGGGGGAGCCCTCATAGTAAATGGAAATTACGTAATTAATGTTAGCACCCTAAACAGAACAAGAGTATTTAGAAATACTAAAAAATCAAAAAATGTCTATTTCTTGAATCTAATGAGTTTTATAAGCCAGTATCCACAGATACTATTTCTAAACAGATAAAAGAAAACTTAAATTACTATAATTTTTCTTTTTTACTATTCTAAATACTATACTTTTAAATAGCAACTTCACCACAAAAATATTCTTTTTCTTGAACAATTATGCTTTGCTAACAATAGTACACTACTTGATTGGTCTTATCTCTCTTCTAGATTACTTCATATTCCCAAAAGAAAAAAGCCTGCCTGGTTTCTTTATTTAGAAAATACTGTCTTGTTATATTCCCTCCTTTCAACCTTCTGGACTCAATTTCTTTATCTACTAAACTAATTTAATTAGCAAATATCACAAGCCCTGAGCACTTGATTGTCATAATAATAATATTATCATTGGTTAAGTTTGCAAAGTCTTCTGTTAACCCAACTCAATTTCTATTACTTACTAGCAATATGATATTAACTCTTCTTTTTTTATTTATTATTTTCTTCCTCTTATCATTTGTAAGCCCTGCCAAGGCTATAGTTTAAACTTCTTCCATATCTTTAATCACTATACACTTGAAGTCTCTTCAATTTTTTCTACCTAATTCTTTAGTAGAAAATTTAATGATTAACTTAAACTTAATGCCAACTATATTGATCTTATTTATTCTACTACTTTTAAAAACCTACTCGAGATTCTATCTTTACTTTCTATTAATATTGTAGACTCTTTTACTTTATCTCTTTTTTATAATAATACAATTAAACCTCTATAAATACAATATAGACCAGCTTCAATTGTGTATTTAGAGAGGTTTGCATTTAGAGAAAGCCAAACAAATTGCAGCTTTTATTGTTTGATCTGCAGGCTTGTATAACACAACTTGAATACTAAATTCTGATTGGCTATATGCATTTAGAGAGGTTAGTATGATATAAAAAATCTTTTGAGTAAATATATATTTGCAAAATATAAAATGTGTATTTAGCATTAATGATTTCTTACAGCCAGACCAGAAATGTGTATTTAGAGAGGTATGTATTTATGAAGGTTTGACTATATTGCTTCTAAAAATCTGCTCCAAATTGCTTTAGCTAATCAACCTTATCAAGAGTTCACTTTCTATACAGTGGCTCTGTCAAAAACCTTGGCACTAAGAAATGTACTATGAGTATTAGATGAGCCCAAGTTTACAATAACTCTGTTATTCACAATTTCTCTGCTCAAATCTCTAACTGGCTCTCATCATATAAAGCTGAGCTTCTTGATATTCTCTCTGCTATTTCTTCTCTTCTATGCAATTCTTTTGTTAACATTTATACAGACTCCCAATCTGTAATCTCAAAGTATAATAAGCTTCTCCAAACTTCTCACTCTACAACTAAATACTTTAAATTCAATTCTTGGCTAATCTAGTATATACTTATTAACTCAATTAAAGTATATAATATTGACTTAACTTTTTATGAAGTTCAAGCCCACAGTGATAACACTTTCAATAATCTAGCTAATCAACACAAGGCGAATGATTCTATACTAGTTAACTATCAGGTTCCCAATAGGTCTACTATTTTTATATTATAGAAATATGCTAGTTTACTGGTAAAGCTTGTTTAAGAGTATCCGATTTGTCTCTGATTATAAACAGATCTTTGATACAGATAGGGCACTATTTGGCAATATATATAGTGCAATCATACTAATATTGGTTACCTGATTGGTGTCTTATTTGTAACTATATTACAGAAAAACCAAATATATATCAACAAGCTTTACAATACCTACCAGTTATCCTGATTTGTATTCAAATAGCCTGACAGGTATCCTATTGTTTTCAATATTGTACAAAATCAGTTATCTAGCATAATTAATTCAAAAGCAATCAGGTATTCAATTGCTAATAACAGTAATTGTAATTTACAATTTTTTTTATTATAAAAAATATTACATTTTAAAATAATATACAAAGCTACAATTAATAATTAAAAAAGAAAGAAATCAAAAAATGTCGAAAAACTACTTTAACAAAAAAAACACCGGAATGGACAATTCCATCAAGAAAAAGAATCTAAATAAAACATATAAAGAACTAAAAAACTACATGACAGCAATGCAGAAAACTAAACTGGATGACTCCAATGACGAATTCTAATAAAGAAAAAAAATATAAAAAGCTGAAAGTATTAAAGTTTAGCCTAAAAAAAACTTTAAATAAATTGAAAATAGGTGAAACCCCAAAAAATCACAATAGCAAAGAAGCACCATATTGGACAACTTTAATGACACTGGAATAAATGACTTCAATGATGAGACCTAAAAGTAAAAGACTAAAAATATTAATACTCAAAGAAAAAAAAAGAAGTCATATACTTTTTGAAATATAAATAACTGAAAAAACTACGCGATGACAATAAAGAAACACTAATTGAATGACTCCAATGATGAAGCACTAGAATAGATGACTCCAACGATAAGTTCTGACAAAGAAAAAGTAAAAGACTAAAAATATTAATACTCTAACAAAAAAAATTCAATCAAAAAAAAACTTTAAACAAATCAAAAACAGATGAAAAGCCAAAAAACTACACAATAGCAAAGAAACACCATACTAGATGACTCTAATGACACCGGAATGGATAACTCTAATGATGAGACTTCAAAGTAAAAAATTGAATGTATTAGTACTCAAAGGAAAAAAAAATACTATATACTTTGAAACAAAATTGAATATAAATGACCGAAAAAACTACACAACAACAATGAAGAAACACCAACTAAATAGCTTCAATAATGAAGCACCAGAATGGACAACTCTAATGATGAGTTTTGACAAAGAAAAAGAAACTAAAAGACTAAAGATATTAATACTCTAATAAAAAAAATTCAATTAAAAAAAACTTTACCCGAATTGAAAACAAGTGAAAAGTCAAAAAACTATACAATAGCAAAGAAACACCATACTGGATAACTCTAACAACACTGGAATGGATAACTCCAACGACAAGTCCTCAAAGTAAAAGACAGAAAGTATTAGTACTCAAAGAAAAAAAAAAAAACTATGTACTTTGAAACAAAATCGAAATGTAAAGGACCGAAAAAACTATGTGATGACAATAAAGAAATACCAACTGAACAACTCTAATGACAAAACACCAGAGTGGATGACTTCAACGATGAGTTCTGACAAAGAAAAAGAAACTGAAAGACTAAAAATATTAATACTCTAATAAAAAAAAATTCAATCAAAAAAAACTTTAAATAAATTGAAAGAAACACTATACTGGATGACTCCAATGATGAGATCTTAAAATAAAAGACTGAAAGTATTAGTACTCAAAGAAAAAAAAAGAAACTATGTACTTTGAAACAAAATCAAAATGTGAAGAACCAAAAAAACTATGTGATGACAATGAAGAAACACCAAATAAATGACTTCAACAATAAAGCACCAGAATGGATGACTTCAATAACAGCTCTGATAAAGAAATAGAAACTAAAAGAAAATATTAATACTCTATCAAAAAAAATCCAATTAAAAAAAAAAAGCATCAGAGTGAATTCAGAAAAGCAGAAATATTTATAAGATCTCATGTAACTGGTGATATAATTATACTTAAATTAGATTCTATATTATAGTAATTTTACTATTTTTTATATTACACAAACAAAGATCAATCTAAATTAATAGAATACTGTAATATATACGTATGCAATTAAAATCAGATGGCTAATATAAATAAAAAATTATGCATATCTCTTGTTGAATTTAAAAAATATGATATTTTCAAACTACATTTGCTGGCAAATTATTAAAAAAAAATTAGAAGGCCTTTCAATTCGAAAAATTGCAAAACACTTAGGTGTTAGCAAGTCTTCTATAAGTTGGGTTTTCAAAAATATAGTTGTATTGAAGAACTTCTATTGCTTTTAGGAAAACCACATTCTTTATACATGAATGATATAAATTATTTTCAAGTTTTAATGAAAGAAAAGCCTGACTAGTAAATCTGAAATAAAACTTTGGTTAAGACATAACATTAGTTTTACAACAATTTGGAGAGCTATACACCAACTTATACACCAACTTAGATATATGTACAAAAAAGTAATATTTCATTATTTATATATAATTTTATTTTATAAACTTTTAGAATTTTATAAAAAGCTTTTTCATATTAATAGCTTCTGATTCAGGCTCTTTCATATTAATAATATCCAATTCAGGGTCTTTTTCACTATTAATTTCTGAATCAGTTGTGTTTATTTCAAACAATTCAGATAACTCAAAAGTATTTATAAAGATTCTTTAATTGTTAGATCTACTGTTTTGCTTTGATTGTGTTAATTATAATTTTTACCAAATTTTTGACAAATATTAATTAAGCTTTGGTTTTTTGGAATTTCGACTTTAGTTAAATTTTTAGCATAATCTTGATTGTATTTAACTTTTTTAATATTTGTATAATATATTTACTATAAAAGCTCATAAGTTAAATACACTAAATATATTGGGCAAGCATTCAAACAAAATTTTAATAATGTTAATAAAATTATTTGTACATAGAACAGGTATTATATTTATTAAGGTAATTTTTGAAATTGAAAATGCAATTTAGACATATATAGATATTATATCAATATTATAGTAAATAAAAATTGAACAAATTCAAAAATATATTTAATTTATAATGAAGATATTATATCAATATTACAGTAAATTAAAATTGAACAAATTTAAAAATATATTTTTTATATACCAATCATGCCAAAAAATTACTGGCCAAAAATTTTTTTCAGCAAATTATTTATAGGTGTTCTAGGAATAATAAAATATTTATCAGGTTATATTAAGTTAAATTATAGCCACATCAGGCATCCGATAGAACACTAGTAAAAATAGTAAGATAGAGTTTAGTTTTGTATTTGACTAAATTAATGTGTTGTCTAAAAATTATGTTGCAAATAGATTGGCCAAGTATAGTATTATAGATTCTATATTCTTTTTTTTTTTAATATTAATGATAGATTCTATATTCTAAAGTAGAAATAATAACAGTATTGATAATATATCTAGCTTAAGTATATGTTATTTGTTTGGTGCTAGCAATTTTATTAAGTTGAGAAGATTTTGAGAAAATAAGTTGGATTTGTTTAGTATATTTATTGTTCAGAGTAAACTAATAGCCAAGAAACTTGAAAGGTTGATTAGCTGGCTAAAGAAGAAGTATTTCATTATTAAAAGAGATTGAGCAATAGATATTGGGCTTGGCATTAGATGATAATATAGATTTGATTAGATTAACTTTAATATTAGCCATATTGTAAAAGGATTTAGCAGCTGAGAGAATATTAGATAGCTCAATTTGGCTAAATGTAATTCACAAAGTGTCATCTATATAAGCTAGCATAAAGCTATTAGCTTCAAGTTTGTTAATAGAAAAGTTTTTTAAATTAGTGAACCATAAGATAGAGGTTGAATAGCTAAAGAATATTGAATATATATAAATAATAAGATAGTTATAGTTATCTGCCAAAGCAAGAAGATAATAGTCTCCTCTTGGTTAATACTATTTTGAACTTGCTAGGAGTATTAAACCAAAATTGGTTATAATCTCATTTTGACATTTGATAAAAAAGTTTGATAGAATATTAATAATAGATTAAAGAAGAGAGAAAATATTTAAGTAGATCAAGATTAACAGAGTTATAAACTTTGTTCATGTCCTGAAATAAAAGCCAGATCTCTTTGTAGTTACAATTAGCATCTTTAATAATATTGTTAAGGATATGAATAGGAATAAATGTGTTATTGCCTAGTAGGGCAACATAATTGAAAAGTAAAAGAATAAGATGCTAAGAGAAAACTTGATTAAGTTTGTTAGTTAGAATTTTGGTATAAATTTTTCTAATATATTTAATTAAACTAATTGGGTAAGTAAGATTAAGATTTCTATCAAAAGTATTGTTTTTTAGTATTGGGTAAATTCTGCTATGTTTTTATGACTAAAACATAGTATTTTGTGACAGACAACAATTGAAGAGTGTAGTAAGAGCAGTAGTATAGTGGTTACTAAGATGTTTAATTATTTTATAGCTAATACTTATAGATTCACAGGTCTTGCTATTAGGAAGTTTAGATATAGTTTGTAGAACTTATCTTCTGTTATAAGGGTAGTAAGAGGTATGTACCAATTAGGCTCAATATGAAAACATAGATTGTAATATTGTTTTCAAAAATTTTGGTTAATAGATTTAATTTGAGTAGGATTAGTAACAAGTTGGTTTGATAGTTTAATATTAGTTAATTATATTATTAATAGCTTGTATAGGCTTGAAAACAAGTGTTTTATATCTTCTTTCTGAAGCCTAGTTGATTTGTTGTTTGAGACGAAGTACCATATAGTTGCAAAATAACACTTGTGAGCATTATTTCAAAAATCAAACCCCCCTAAAAAAGCATATACAGTCTCGAATTAGTGCCCATGGGCATTCCGAATTAATGCGTATCTCAATATGGCCTATATAAAAAAAATGCTTTAGAACTAGATTCGTACTAAGTAAGCTTACTTCTGAGCCTAACAAAATTGTTCTTTATATTGAAGCAAGTAGGTTTATTTAGTGTCTACCTAGTTCTGGCACAATTTTTTTTATCTTATTATAATTAAGAGGTACAATTCAAAAAGCCAATTCTTAATTTGAAATAACGCACATGGGTGTGCTCGAAATAATGCACAGTTCAATTAATTAACGTGCAAATAGGCATTATTTTGCGGCTATATGGTAAGTGTTCAATGTTGTATGCATGGTAGACTTGTTTTTAAATAGTGTAGACGTGTAGTAACCATGGTTTAACCACATTATAGTGTAGTAAGGTTAATGATTGAAGATTATATTTAGAGTAAATGTTAATGATAAGGATATATAAATTAATATATGGGAGGTCAAGCTTAGAGTAATTGTTGTTATTAATATTATTAAAGGTTTTAATAAGGTTTTCAAGTTTTTTAAGGCCAAAATGAAATGCTATGCATTGTGGGATATATTTATAATTATTGCTATGTTTTTAGAAGATTTTATTAGAAATTATTTTAATAGCAGTGTGTGTAATGCAATATTGAATTTTGTGTCAGAAAGTATCAATACTTTCATAGATATTAGTAGTAAGTAGAACATGGCTTTAAAACATTAGTTGTGTAATAAGCTCTGAGAACTTGAGCTATTGGTCACTAGAGGTAGTTTTGTAATCAAATATTCTGCGATTAATGTTGGTATAAAGGCAAGGAGGTTTACTATAGGCATTGGAAAATATTCATGAGGTAAAGAGTATTAAGTGATTACTAAGAGTGCTAGTTTTACTGTTATCAAGATTATATAAGAGAAGAAATTGTATATTAAAAATATTAGTTCAGATATACTTGATTTTGCTAGATTTGTTGTTGTTAGACTAGATAAAGTAAGTATTGTTTAGATGTGCACTAATATTTAATATATTAAACTGGTATAGAAAGTTAATAAGTTTAAATTTAGATAAAGAAAAGAATATAGTATCATATGTATTAAAATTTTCTAGAATAATAGATTATAAGTTAAGTTGTTAAGCTTGTTGTATCCAGTTAGAGCTATGACATTTATTATATAATTTTTTAGAAGGTGGGGGTTGAGTATGTATTATATTAATATCTTATATTATACAAAGAAATTATATGATTTCTAAATTGGCCAATTATATATATCTTATATGGAGAGAAGAAAATAGCTTTTATAGTAAATAGATATTATATAATAAATATAAAAGCCCTTAATAACTGTGTTTTAGATAAGATTACATTTAGTAGAGTTAGTTGAAGAAAGATAGACAGAGATTATATATTGCTTTTAAAGAAAAGATCTAGTGTGCAGCTTGTCTGAGTGTGTTAGACAACTATGAATGTGAAGCTTAAAATAGTTGTGAATCATGATAGCTACTTCTTTTATAGAGCTATTAGAATTAGCTTAGTAGTAAGTATAAAGATTGTTATTGCAAAAGGAGAGCTTGGTTTTGTTTGAAATATTAGTTTCAATGATGCTAGTAATAAAGATGTTGTGATTGATACAATAATTTTGCCAGGTTTGTTTTTTAGAGATAACATTATAGCCTATAACATTATAAGTAACTATTGTAAGATATAGATTATAGTGATTAGCTGATAAAATATAATCTGGTTGAAGAGAAGGTGAAGGAGAGTTT